AGAAAAATGAATGGCTTATTTATTTTTTTCATCCCTTATTCCATGTTGATAGCATAATCCAAGGTTATAATTCCATTAATTTTTCCATCTCAGCAGATTCTTGATGCGCTAGTCCCAAACATTTGAATACTCGATTGATTGATTTATCCTCATAATACGTATTATTTTCTTCTTTCTCACTTTCTTGAATATTAACCACCTCGTCACCACAATTAAATTCATCTAGTGTTGACTGAACCTGATTTATTTCATTTGTATTTATGTCCGAATCGATATCTTGAGTTAGGTCACAAACGCTTTCATCATCTTCATTATTACTGCCTGTGTCTTGAGTTAAATTATGAACGGTCTCACTATTATTTGATTCTTCTAAACTTTCAAATACATAATCATTACTTCAACGTTGACTTTCTGGATTCTTTACCCATTCATAGTCAAAAACTTTTCAATCTTTTAATCCATCTCTTGCTACAGAGACACCACAGCACTTAAATGACTGCACAATAAGTGCAGAATCAACTTGATCCCATGACATTTTTACCCAATTAGCTACTGTACTGTATGAAGGATGTCGGATAGGACCAGCAGGAGTTAGACTTAAAATTTCACTTGCCATCCATTTGTTATAGAATTTGCGGTACTAAAAATAGTTACAATTTATTACATTTAATTTTTAATTTAAAATTAATAAAGTAATACCTTATCCTTAAAAGATTTATTTATGTAAATGTCCAATGGCTGCAACTTGCTAGTTAGTCCTCCCGGGATTACAGCAATATTGGTATTTTTTTCAGAAAATCATTTTTTGACTGGATCTGTAATGTGACCTCGAAATGCATCTAAAACCAATAGTGAGCGAGGATCAACAGACAAAAGTGAACGCTTATTTCAAATGTTTTCTATCCACCAAATTATTTATCTGAGTTCATATATCTCTCAGGGTTGGTTCAAATAATAACACCAGGTGGAAATTCTTGTCGTGGTACATTTACTAATTTGAAAATAATTACTGGCGGCAATTTTTTCCCATCAGCCATAAAACTAAGTACAACAGTAAAATTGGACTTTTCGTGTCCTGTTGTGCAAATTGAGACCATTTTGGCACCAGTTTCATCAATAGTATAATTAGATGGCATATCAAAAGACAACAGAGTCTCATCCATGTTATCTATTAGTGCAAGAGGATAGTTATGTTGTATGCGTCTATATAGCACAAAACTTAAAATTTCATTTTTTTTGCTGCTCAACATTAGCAGTTAATTTTTGTGCTACTGTAGTTCGATGATGGTTGCTTAATTTATAACGTTTCATAAATCTATCTAACCATTTATTACTCCATTTACATTCATTAATTTTCGGATAGAGTGAAATAAAATGGCCTTGCTTGGTTAATTGTTGAGCCTTTGTTCTAATCATATAACGAGACACCACCTTTTGTCTTGTATGTAAGGATTTTATCCAAGAAACAAGATCCATTTCTAATATTGGATATTTTGTATGTCTTCTATTGTTTAACCGTCTAATATATTGTGGCGAACGCATTAATTCTTCCTGTTTTTTAACCCATTCATGCAATTGTTTTGGTTGTAAACTAAATTTTTCTGCGGTATTTTGTTTACTAGCATTGGGGTTTTTTTCAAGATAAGTAATAATTGCTAGTTTTTCACTAACGCTCCAACTTCTTTTTTTTTCTAATATTTGCTTGTTTTAAATTGTTCTGAAACCGTGCCATTATAAAATTTTTACTTTGATTTAAAAAATAAGATACCAATCGTAAATGAAAAAAAAAGATATTGTATTATAATTGATTGACAAAAAAAAAAAGGCAAACTGTAACAAAGCTTGTAATATCTGATATAGTGTACTAGGAATTAAGTATGCGAATATTATAATTGTATTGAAAGGAAATAAAAAGCTTTTCAATTCAATGACCTAAAACCACATGAATTTTTTTTTTAAAAAAAAATATACCAGTATAAGGTTCTGTATTTTTTGAGTTGCAACACAAACTTTAAGGAAATATATATAATTTCTAG